TCGTAATTTATGTTCGGTATTATGTCATTTCATAAATGTAACAATACAAGTATATCAATGATGTGGTGCGGAAATTTGACGAGGTTAACGATACATTAAATAAATAATATAGAATCAATAAGTATACACGTCTTATGATGTATTGATTTGAATTTTTATTGCAATTATATTGTAAATTGGAAAACAAGAATGCTTACCTGTTTTTTTTTTTTCTCAATTATTTTATTACTTTTAGCAGATGTGCATATAGCCTACCAGCTTCGGCCATCGTTGCTCTTAGACAATGGAAATGACAATGGTACAGCCTGATGATTTTTAGTGCTGAGAACTATTTTAAAACCTCGTTTGAAGAAGGACGTGTTATAGCGCTCAGTGATCGCTTGATCTTGTTACTTATCCGAATTCGAGAGGGATTACGATAAAACGTCTATTAAAAATTCAATAGGGGTGACCTCTGGGGCTATTTAAGCCGGCGAAGAGACCCATTGTGTATTGTCACTACCGCTATGGAAGCTCCAACTTAGCGTGCCTTCGACGGAAGGTCGGTTTGCATTGTATTTCATTCTCTTTCTATAAATTACGTAACCATATTGTGTCTGTATTTGTTTTGTATTAAAAGTTAAAAGCCATATTGTTTATTGGTTTATTTACCTTCTCATTATAGCTTAACTTTGAATTCAGTTCTATTTGAATGCCCATCTACAATGACTGCTAATTTAAATATATTATATTATATTTTAAGTTCTCCACCCTAGCTTAAATTTGAATTCAGTTCTATTTGAATGCCCATCTACAATGACTGCTAATTTAAATATATTATATTATATTTTAAGTTCTCCACCCTAGCTTAAATTTGAATTCAGTTCTATTTGAATGCCCATCTACAATGACTGCTAATTTAAATATATTATATTCTAAGTTCTCCACCCATAAAACCTTGTGCTTTTTTTTTAATCTAGAAACACACACTCAATAGAACATAACAAGATCCATAACCAATATAGCAAGATTGAAGGTTTAGGTTAAGGTTTGTTAGCTAAAAATTTTAGAATTCCGATTGATTAAAATTAATTATGATAATGTTATAGGAATTATAAGAATGAAGAATACAAGAGATGTGACAACTTCAGATAATAGACATTTCTGAAATTGCTTCCGTCAAATTAACTATATTGTTAATGAAATGAGTAATTTCCCTCTGTTTCAAAACGTTTATCAAACTTTCAAAATATTTTTAAATCAAAAAAGTGCCAATCCTTTTTCTGTAATATTAACTTTTACATTTACATAATCCACTGATGTTGATGTATGATGTAGTGAGAAACACAATAATTAAGTACTCAACTGTATAACTCACTCATCCGGTAGTCCGTGTATGCCTTGAAAGAAAAAAAAACCATCAACAGTATTATCATCCATCATTGTGGATTTTATATATACAGAAAACATTAATATTAAAAAAGCTGTAAGAAAAAAAGCATGAAAATTAGTTCCAAATAAAATGATAAGATTTCAATGTAAATTGAATATAATTGATATTTTAAATCTTGCCTTCTCACTCGAACTCCCGCGTCAATTACAATAACGTCAAAAGACATTTTGTACGTATTAAAATTATTGAGACCTCACCAATTAGTTTTAAAAGTTCTCAAACTTATTAATATCTGAATGAATTAAAAATCCATGGATGGTTCTTTCAGAATTTGGATAACATAAATTTTTAATGGATGAATACACCAAAATCGTCAACGTCCCTATTCAAACTACATCGATCAAATATCCAAAGCATTTTATCGTACCTTTCCCAATAAAACGCCAATGCGTGTTTACGATACAACATGAGGTCACGGAAACGACTCTCGTTAAGTAAAGGACAAGTTTAATGCCCTTAAATTATACTTTAATACAATTTGACCATATATATTTTCATGAGCCCATATTATCTCTTAAGGATGTCACAATAGTGTGATGGAATGGTACAATGGTTTATATGTATTCATGGTTTATACACATTTTTTAAATAAACGACCACATAAAATATATAAAAAATAATAAAATAACTCTTTATATTATTATTATTATTATAGACGGTGACATAAATTGGCGGCCTTATCGCTGAAAGCCTTCTCTTCCAGGCAACCTTGCAGGTAGAGGAATAAGCAAATTAGCATGGACGGTGTTATACCTTAATAAATACATAAAAATATATACTTATATACACACGTGAAAAATAAATACAATATAAGATAGACTTACATACGATTAGATACAAATAAATACTAAAAATATGCAGATAGGCAATCTTAACTCGTTCGCTTCGAACACGCCATCGATTGAATTCATTTCTAATAGATTAATTAAAATCTTTTAAATGCAGCTCCACTCGCATTAATATAGAAAAATGTATCGCTTGGGGCGGCTTGGGTACAATACTTTTTCAGGATAAAAGTATCTTTACTAAAATTATCTTATACTTTTCTGTACCGACGCAAACGTGTTCACTAATTTTCATGACGATCGATTGAATAATTAAGACGTGAAACCGTAAAAAAACAAAAACTAATTCACTGTCACAATTAGAATATTAACAAGCGTATTTTAGATAGTTTGGAAAATTGTAACTTGTACATGTATCGGAGCATCGGTTCCCTCTATAGACTTAATATTAAATTAAAATAGTATTTACTGTTTGAAACTACGTGACTTCCATACTTATAATTTGCGTAAATACTGGTGGTAAGCTATCATCTGAGTCCGCACGGGTAGGTACCACCACCCCCCCACCCATATCTGCCGTGAAGCAGTGATGCGTTTCGGTTTGAAGGGTGGGGTAGCCGTTGTAATTTTTTTTTTATTGCTTAGATGGTCCTTTTTTTTATTGCTTAGATGTGTGGACGATCTCATAGCCCACCTGGCGTTAAGTGGTTACTGGAGCCCATAGACATCTACAACGTAAATGCGCCACCCACCTTGAGATATAAGTTCTAAGGTCTCAGTATACCTAGTTACAACGGCTGCCCTACCCTTCAAACCGAAACGCATTACTGCTTCATGGCAGAAATAGGCGGGGTGGTCGTACCTACCCGTGCGGACTCACAAGAGGTCCTACCACCAGTAAAATAAGCGGGGAAGTGAATGTCTATGGGCTCCAGTTACCAATTAACACCAGGAGGGCTGTGAGCTCGTCCACCCATCTAAGTAATAAAAAAAATAAAAATAAAGAAAATTCTAAAAGATGATGTACAATTTTAAAAATACGTCTCGCAATGTAATAAAGAATTGTATAAAATATTTTTCGTGCGCGCAATGAACAAAACTAATAGAGCAACGTCTATAATTCGTGCGGCGTTAGCAAAACACCGACCTCACGGGCTTTGGGGCGCGAGAGAGCGGTCCTTCATTAAGCCCGATAAGACACGACACGGCCTCGTCTTCAGGAGACGTCAGACCGCGGTAACAATGATTCCTCATCTTGTTGACGCTTTCAAAACGGCGCACTTAAGAATAAAATATAGCACCGTTTTAAAGGAAACCTTACCATAATTTCATTGGATAAAAATACATTATTATAATAATATTTTAAATGCGAAAACAAGTTTGTTTATTACGTTTTCGCGAACGTTATTTACGAACTACTATATAGATCATAATGTAAATTTGTATACATCTTTTCAGGCGTCCAAATAGGAGAATAGGGTACTTATAGAGAAAAGAGTATTGCTCTCGAAATTTATAAATTTTTTTCTACCTTGACGTAACCGAATCTGCGTTTAAAAATTAACGTATATATTTATTACCTTACTTACTAATTTTTATTAATTATTATATATTTTACTTATTACTTACTAGCTGACCCGGCAGACTTCGTAGTGCCTCAATCGATAAATAAAAGACCTAAACTTTTGTATAAAAAAAACTTAAAAAAAAAAACAAATAGAAACCGTCCGACGGGGGACACATCAAAGGAATCGTATTTTTTCACCTTTTAAACCTTCTCTGGACTTCCACAAATAATTCAAGACCAGAATCGGTCCACCCGTTCTCGAGTTTTAGCGAGACTAACGAATAGCAATTCATTTTTATAAGTGTAGATAGATAGATAGATTAATTATAAATTCCTGGGTGAGAAAAAAATTATGAAGACGACCCAAAACTAAATTTAGAATGTGATTGTTTTTAATGACATGTAAATACATACTGGAAGTTAATTTTTTGACACACCGCAACGCGAATATTGCTGTCCACATTTTATTGCGTATGTAGTAGAAACACAAGCTTATGGTTCTATCTGACAGTGGGTGGTCACACTACATTTTTTCTCAGCAAAAATACGCAAGGCACACTGACCCACTTGTAACTTGAAACATTCCCAGTCACCAGTACATAGATGGGAAGAAAGCTGCAACCAAACAAACTACTGTTTTGTCATCCTCTGATTTAAAATTTAATATATGTAACTTCATCAATAAAGCTATTTTTAAAACTTTGCAACAATCTTCTTATAACGCTAACATATTTAAGCCAGTTGGATTTGTAACGTCATCCGCAGTGAGAGATAAAAACGTCATTATAAGACGTAGCCTATCGTAAATCAGCACGGGACGTAGAGGGAATTATAAGGGTCGCCACACACGTATCGCCTCCGTGCTCGTAGACATCGCCTGACCTCTACGTTAATCTGAAACTGCACATTGCAAAGCATCGTCATAACATATACCATGGCATTTCTTCACTATCGCACAGAAAAATGACCGGGTTGCGGTTTTGTACTTTAGGCTGACACTTCGCCAACGTCTCATTATCGACGTTGTCACCCTAGTTGTTGCCCCAATAATCTGACCTGACTTATAATCAACTAAACCATTAATGCAGAGTCGTTCTACTCTAGTCCACCCTAGTGCCTCCAAATTTAAGTGAATAAGGCGAGGCGATGCCAGGGCAAAAATTGTGCGGAGATCCTAAGGCAGTGTAGGGCGCGGCGGCGCTGGAAGCCGCGAGCTACGGGGCGCGTGCGTGGGGAGACGCGGCGGTGCGGGGCGCGGCACAGCCTCCCGGCTCCTGCACTCCGCCGCCGCCCGCCGCCCGCATCGATCCCGCAGCCTCCGGCGAGCCGGTCATCATCGCGCGCGACACGAACGCGCGCCGCACGCGAACTTCGCGCGTCCGCACGCGTACACTCGCCCGCTCCGAGCTGCACGCGCCCTCTATATACCTGACCACACTCACACAGGTTAACTAACATCCTCGCTTACGTAACGTCTAGAATATCCACCGTATCCATTGACAGGTTATGTGTGTACTCGGCCGATCGTAGCTCTTGTCATTTCAAACCATTCTAACCTTAGGCTTACAGTATTTAAAAATGCTATCAACACTATTAGATGGTAATAGTTAAAATCATGTTAAATAGTAAGTATATTGAATGGTATTAACATCCGAATTCAAATAGAGCGTACTGCTGCTACTGGTAGTAAGCCAAAACAACAGTAGCTTTCATATAAATAATTGCTTTAACAGAGTTATTTACGCTTGGTTAAATATAGTGCTCTATATTTATCATAACAGTGATTTTCCAGATATGAATAGTACTTTCACATTTTTATAAGAGTTTTTTTAGAAACGGTGTTAAGACCTTGATATTCTAAGGAAAAATCCAGATTAAGTAATATTTTCTCGCTTCGGCTTGTATGTGTAGCTTTTATAAAAATACTGTGTTTAATTACTCTCAATATCCTTTGTGTGTTGTTCGAAAATAAGATTAAATTTAAAAGAGACTACTAAAGGTTTTACTAAAATAATAAACACACTTCAAATAAAATGCTATTTAACTGCGCATTAAGAAATATTTTTATAAAAATCAGTCAATTGATTAGAATAAACTCATTACAGTCGATTTTCAAACATAAATAAAATTATACACATTCAAAATTTGCAAGCTCCATTCAATCGACAATTGCACAGCAACAAAGATCCCTTTGTTGTGATTTTTTTTTAATTAAATGATTTTTTTTAAAGTTCTAAAAAGGTAAATGAAATATCAATTCTTAAGGACTTTCACGTTGTTTTTCTACATATAAAACCAAAAACAAAGTAAAACAATGTAATGTAAAAGAGCTATTGTAACTTCAAAAGAACGCTAACATTTAAATTGCACATACAAGACAAAGGAATTAGCATTGTTTGATAAGTTCTAGTATACATATCGTATACATACATAATCCATTTTGTTAGAGCACAATGAAATGAAAACCATTCCCATCTTTATTCCTCTTTTTATCTTTAAAAATAAAACTACTTAATATTTCTAGTGACATATAATGTGCTACCAAAAATAAATAGTCTACAAGAAAATAAATGATTTCGAAATATACGATAGTTGAACTTAATTTGATAGATGCTGAGCAACCAAATAAGTAGGCACTTTAGTAAATACTTATCCAAATATACACCAATAACGTAATAAGTGTTTTGACCTTTCTACACCTGTTAATTAGTAAGATTATTTTGTCATGTTATTAACACGGATTACCTACAACAACTTCTTAATTAGCGTAACATTCTCATGATGGCATCTGTACAAACAGCAATGCTACTATCACGTCTCGGGGTAAACTCAGCGTGATCCAATATTAATTAACATATCACGTAAAAATACAACATAAAAAGTGTCACATCGCCAACTCAATCGCACAGATCGACGAAATATCCTCACGGCATCGTTTCCAAGATCTTTAAATTGACAATATACAAATATTTTTCTTAATGAGAATCCGTGTTTAATTTGTTCGCGGATTTAGCGTTTTGAGTGTAAGTCAATAATCAAAGCAATAAGGTTAACTATTTACGGCGCTATTTAGTCATCAGGAATCACTCATCGGTCATTATCTATGTTCTTGGTGCGTTCGGATGCGGTCGCGTGCCCAATGTCGTGACAAATCTTTCGGCGGTAGTAATGAGAGGCGTTGCGGTCGAGACATAAATACGGGCGCCGTCGGTCAGTGACAAGTCCGTTTTACAATGGCTTCCGAAAAAGAAAAAATGGCAGCGGCCGAAACGAAGTCGCCATCCAACAAAAGCAACTGCGCCTCACCTGGAAAGAAAGGTAAAACATAGATTTAGGAACTTTTTTTTAAGTCCATACTACAGTAAGACATTGTTGGTTTTGATATACATTCAATAAATGTTTTAATAAAGATAATTAATGTTCAATCTACTCTGTAACGTCTCCTTCTGTCTTATTAGTTATCTTTTAGTCACTGGTTAATTCAAATGTTAATAAACATTCACATATAGAAAAACTAAGATTATAATACAAACATTTAAGTAAACTGTACGTCATTGTAAAATCTTAAGCTTCGAATACATTAACATTTGAGGTTTCATTGAAATATTTGCTGGTAGCAATAATATCGCAATTATAGACATTTAGCTGATATCCAAAACTACTCGTATGCAACCATGGTCTCTACGAGTTACTGTTACCACTACGTAGTTTTTACACCTAATTTCTTTTACTCTTCTCCTAATTATTGCTTTGGATAATGGTAGAAGGTCTACTTTAAAGTTCGAGCTGGTATACTTACCTGTCATAAATAAAGACTCCAACATAGACACACATTCTTCAAATACTGATAATTTTCAAGCCACTGCAGATACTTTTTTCGTAATTTAATTCACAATTCGACATTTATGATCCTTTTTACAAAAGATTGGAATACAAACAAAAGCGCTTATATTATTACGTATGTGTAATAACATGCTGCCGATAACTTTGAGGTCAACATAGGTTCACGACGCGTTATCAAAACCTAACAATAATGGAATTGTTCGAGTCAATGAACACAAACAACACATATTGTGAAAACAAAATAAATAATTTAAAAGGTCGTTCAAATTTTATTTTAGTTAAATGATATATTTCTCGCTCATATAGCACATGTTTATTACTAAGATAATTTTTTACAGACTGAAACATTTGAACATTAGACATGTTCACAGATTTTTTTTTCACTCAAAAAAGCGGTGGTCTAAACGGAGACCATCGCCCAAAACCAAACTAAAATATGTTCATCAATAAGGAAGCTATAACGTTTTATTATAGTTTTGAGCAACATAGCGGATTATGACGTCAAAGCTTGCCGTAACGGGAGAGGGCATTACCTTACATGCTGAACTATACTGAGCTTATTTTTCTCTATCAGCCGATATACGTTTTTTCTTCAGTGTAACCTATTAAACAATTGATCAATAAATCGATTCTGCAAGAAATTTTATTTGAAATCAAATGAGAACGAATAATTATATGAACTAATAATTAAATGAGCGGGAAATATTAACGTAGATACTTTACAAATTCTGCCTATTTCTGCCGTGAAGCAGTAATGCGTTTCGGTTTGAAGGGTGGGGCAGCCGTTGTGACTATACTGAGACCTTAGAACTATATCTCAAGGTGTGTGGCGCATTTATGTTGTAGATGTCTATGGGCTCCAGTAACCACTTAACACCAGGTGGGCTGTGAGCTCGTCCACACATCTAAGCAATAAAAATAAAATAAAAAAATAAAAAAAGATTTAGCGGGTAAAGCTCGGCTGTACCGATGGTTTTACTAGCGTATATTAGCGATCATGACCATTCACCATCAGAAAGATAGTGTGCTCTCGAAGACTTAAAAAATTCACAAGTTCCTCTTCCTATGCATATTATAATGAAAATTGTGTTTTTTTTTCTTCAGAATACAATTTTAAACCAATTTTGAACAAAAGGCCTTAAAATAACTTGAATTACTTTTCAACACAATGTCTCGAGTGCGAACTATTCATTAAATAATGTTTAACAAATTTGTATTTAGAAAAGTCAACGGTTACATCAATAATTATAGGTTTCAATTCGATTATTTAAAATTCACAGAATATGACACAGAGATTTTTCTAACAAATATAGTAAAGAAACGTAGCTCAAATTAATTTTATACGAAATCACTCCGGAAATATCTGATTGTCAAAGTTTTCTGCTATTGAACGTTAATTAAATAAAAAAGTTTTCTGCTTATGAACTTTAATCAAATAACAACACTCAATTAAATATTTTCAATTGAGTTGATTCTATTTGTAAATTTGCAGCACTTGTAAATTTTTGAAGCGGAAATTACAGAAGATTCTACAAATCATTCATTCATATGCGATCTTATTGTGTGTTAGAAAACTAATATTTCATTAGGTTATAAGTAACCTAGAGCCAAACATTTACGAGTACAAGGCGAAGGTGAGGATACACGGAAATAAACCGGTAAGTGGTCACTTGTAGTGCTTCACACCTTGTAGTGAAGCCGCTTACGTTGTGTACCAGATTGGAGCTGTTAGTTACCTATAAATACATCGGTACAAGTATATAAGCTTTCACAAAAAAATTTGTAATAAATCTAAATCAACTTTTAACACCGAAACATTTTAACAGAACAAATTTGCCAAATTATAAAAGCTACTCTATTCTGATAATACTAATACTCTTACTAATAACAATTTTTAAAGTTTCCTCTTATACTTAAAATAACAGTGTCCTTAAAAATGTGTGCTTGTAAAATATTCGTACACACGTTACGTACAGCGCAATTAGCCTCAAAAAAGTTAGGTAATGAAAAATTACAAACATAAACACAAGGAAATTGTCTGTATATTTTGTTCAATGTGGGAGGCAATTTAACTAGAGGGTCCAATAAACTGGGCTGACATTAAACTGAGCGCCTTTGTGTTTTGCACAAAGGCTGTCGCTGAATACCCGGGTTCAAGTTAGCTTTGACGCAAGGTACAAGTTAATGTAACTAAACTAAAATGTATGCTCAATATTGTATTTGAATTATCTATAATTAAAATGAATTGCTGTTCGTTAGTCTCGCTAAAACTCGAGAACGACTGGACCGATTTGGCTAAATTGGGTCTTGAATTATTCGTGGAAATCCAGAGAACGTTTAAAAGGTGAATAAATATGAAAATACTCGGAATTATATAAACAAACAATTTTGTTTTTCCTTTGATGTGTCCCCCGTCGGACGAATTCCTTTTGTTTGTTTTAAGTTTAGTTTATACAAAATTTTAGGTATTTTATTTATAGATTGAGGTACTACGAAGTCTGCCGGGTTAGCTAGTATGTAATAAAAAGAATAGAAACTTTCATGACTTTACATATTAACAAACTTATTTGAAAGCGAATCTTTAAATGCCAATGTATAGTGAGACGTTTAATATATTTTTTTGTTCGACGAATTTGTTTTGTTCAAATCCCTAAGCATTAATTCAATCAGTAACATTATTTCAGAGATATTTGTAAACACAAACTTCATCTTTAATTATGGAAATATTGAAACCCAGCGCAGAATAAAAATAAACTCTGTTAGTTAGTAAAAGTAAAACTCACTCTGATTAAATGCATATTATAAAAGAAGTTATACCAAATTAGCCAAAGCACCCTTTTCATTTATGAACTTTATATCTTTCCTACGTTCTTACTACGTTTTGAAAGGTACATTCAGTAATTCTAATAACCGTAGGAAATTAAATAGAAGTTTGTTCTTTCTTGATGTCTGACTTGGTAACGTACCATGACAGGGCAGACCGGCCTCTCAAGTCCCACTCTGAACTTTTTAAATTGAATTTTAGTCCCTTGCTGCACGAAATTTTTGATCTACTTGCGTTCATAATAAATTGAGAATATCACTTTCGTATTGATTTGAGGATATTAATCTACTATATTTGATTAAAATATTATTAATTAACCACCGCGCGCAATTTGTTTCCAAATGAATCTTGTCCACCTGATGGTTGTCCGGAAGAGATCGCTCTTAGCGATAAGACCGCCTATTGTACTTTTTTGTATTTAATGTATCGCACTGTTTATTTGTTTTTGGTGTACAATAAAGAATACTCTCTCGCTCTTAATTACACAATATTTTTAAAAAAGATATTGAGATAATATATATATATATTTTTTTAAAAAAGATATTGAGATAAATATACTACAATTTTTAAAAACCACTATATTAAAAATAGATTGCCGTTGATGGCGGTGTCTACGACACAATGCACCAGTGGTTGGGACTCTAGAATGAGAAACCTCTTCACAATGCGCGCAGATTCGAGGGCATTATTATTGATTATTATTATTCTTATTGATTATTGTGAATGAGGATATGAGAAAAAGGAATGTGTGTTGAGATGACGGCTAATAGAGGAGAATAGTATAGAAAAATTGGCTATGCCGAACCCAACTAGTGGGATAAGGTGGAGATAAAGAAGAAAAGGCTTTCATATTGATTTAAATACCTGCTGCCAAATTTATTTGCACGTGAATTAATAATAACATATTAAGCCAAAGTTTACTCGATTTATATCCTGATTCATTTTCTGAGCCAATACTGTAATCCCCACCTTAAATAGAGTTAATCTATGCTAATAGCCTGCAGTCTACAATCTGAATGCAATTGAGGTTTGCATATTTAATGTCGGCAGCGGCAAGCACTTCGTGATTTGTATAGAATCAAGTAATTGCTCAATATTGCATATTTTAGGAACAAAATTCAACATGTCATTCTCACTCAGAGTAAAGATCTAACGTATAATGAAAAGAAATGAAAAAGCAGAATCTTTCAAATGGACGGGCTTTGTTCATTTTAAACACAAATAAGAACGGACGTTAGTGATGCGACACGAAAATTAAACATAAATTATTCATCAGATTAAATAACTGAGATATAATTTTGGCCGGAAATTAAATCTAAGAAATACGTAGCTAAGAAATTATCGGTTCTTTTAGTATAAGCAATTCTTTCGTAAACTTTTGATTCCCGTCACTTTTCGAACATACTGAACGTGGAAAATACCTACCTAATTGATTTTTCTCGAGACAGAAACGTTATGTGGTAATTTATAAATAAAATGCTTACAGCCCTGTGAGGACATACAAATTCGGTGTTAAATATGAGGGAAATGAAAACTTTGGATTTATTGTTTTTATTAAGCTGAAAGAAAAAAAGATAAATTCGAAAACAAATCACAAAGATCTACTCACAAAGGACTGGAACATTCTGAACCAGAGATAATAGAACGCAAT